GGAGAAACAGGGACGGAAAGTTCCCGATGTCAGCAAAGGCCCCGACGAAGCAAAGATTAGGTACAGGGGGCGGCCAAGTGGAGCTCTTCGGCACGGGAGCAAAGTCTCTCCCCGTGTCTCTCGCTCCCTGTGTCTCTCTCCCCGTGTCTCTCGCTCCCTGTGTCTCTCTCCCCCTCCCCGTGTCTCTCTCCCCGTGCTCGCTCCCTGTGTCTCTCTCCCCGTGTCTCTCTCCCCTCTCTCCCCGTGTCTCTCTCCCGTGTCTCTCTCCCCGTGTCTCTCTCTCCCCGTGTCTCTCTCTCCCCCCGTGTCTCTCTCTCCCCGTGTCTCTCTCTCCCCGTGTCTCTCTCCCCGTGTCTCTCTCCCCGTGTCTCTCTCCCCTGCTCCCCGTGTCTCTCTCTCTCCCGTGTCTCTCTCTCCCTCGTGTCTCTCTCTCCCGTGTCTCTCTCCCCCCGTGTCTCTCGCTCCCCGTGTCTCTCTCCCCGTGTCTCTCCGTGTCTCTCTCTCTCCGTGTCTCTCTCTCCCCGTGTCTCTCTCTCTCCCCGTGTCTCTCTCTCTCTCCCCGTGTCTCTCTCTCCCCGTGTCTCTCTCCCCGTGTCTCTCTCCCTGTGTCTCTCTCTCCCCGTGTCTCTCTCTCCCCGTGTCTCTCTCCCCGTGTCTCTCTCCCCGTGTCTCTCTCCCCGTGTCTCTCTCCCCTGCTCCCCGTGTCTCTCTCCCCGTGTCTCTCTCTTCCCACATCTCCCCGTGTCTCTATTCAATGTCTCTCCCCAAGTGGTCTCTCTCCCTGTGTCTCTCTCCCTGTCTCTCTCTCCCCGTGTCTCTCTCTCCCCGTGTCTCTCTCTCCCCGTGTCTCTCTCTCCCCGTGTCTCTCTCTCCCCGTGTCTCTCTCTCTTCCCGCGTCTCCCCGTCTCTCTATTCAATGTCTCTCTCCCCGTCTCTCTCTCTCCCCGTGTCTCTCTCCCCGTGTCTCCGAGTGGCCTGTGATGAGTAACTCTTTCACCATCTTTCGACTGAGTCTCTGTGATGGAGGAAATCTTTAGCCTGAGGCCACAGGGAGACTCCCCGTGTCTCTCTCCCCGTGTCTCTCTCTCCCCGTGTCTCTCTCTCCTCCATGTCTCTCTCCCCGTGTCTCTCCCCGTGTCTCTCTCTCCCCGTGTCTCTATACCCGTGTCCCTCTCCCCGTGTCTCTCTCTCCCGTGTCTCTCTCTCCTTCCCCGTGTCTCTCTCCCGTGTCTCTCCCCCTCCATGTCTCTCTCCCCCGTGTCCCTCTCCCCGTGTCTCTCTCCCCGTGTCTCTCTCCCCGTGTCTCTCTCTCCCCGTGTCTTTCTCTCCCCGTGTCTCTCTCTCCCCGTGTCTCTCTCCCCGTGTCTCTCTCCCCGTGTCTCTCTCCCCCCCGCGTCTCTCTCCCGTGTCTCTCTCCCCGTGTCTCTCCCTCCCCGTGTCTCTCCCCCCCCGTGTCTCTCTCCCTCCTCGTGTCTCTCTCCCCCGTGTCTCTCTCCCCGTGTCTCTTCCTCTCCCCGTGTCTCTCTCCCCGTCTCTCCCCCCCCCCCCGTCTCTCTCTCTCCTCGTGTCTCTCTCCCCCCCGGTCTCTCTCCCCGTGTCTCTCCCTCCCCGTGTCTCTCTCCCCGTGTCTCTCCCCCCCCCGTGTCTCTCCCCCCCGTGTCTCTCTCCCCCGTGTCTCTCTCCCCCCCGTGTCTCTCTCCCCCCCGTGTCTCTCTCTCCCCGTGTATCTCCCCCCCTGGATGTGGGTGCGAGGGGCTGGTAACACCTCCAATACAAGCCCCCCAACTAAGACACGTGTTAATATCTCGCTAAGCTTGTGCCGGAGGCCCCGGGGGGACAGGCGTCTATGACGTCTCCTGGCCAAACCCCAATTGGCGGAGCCAGGAGATTGAATCTCTACCCTCGGGGCTCCTCCAGAAACAACGAAAAGCCACTACGGGTGGCCACGTGGAATGTTCGAACGCTCACTGGTGGAGGAGAGGCTGCCACTCCTCTGTCGGGAGCTGGACCGGTACCGCCTGGATCTCTGTGGCATTCAGGAGGTCCGGTGGACCGGCTCCTGCCACCATGAGGGGTGGACAGTCCTCTACTCTGGGGCAGGAGACTGCCAAACAACAGGGAGTGGCTCTTCTATTGAACAAAATGATTAAGGGGGGGCGTGGGAGCGTGGCGGTGAGGTGTGGGAAGCTGTGAGCCCCAGGCTACTTTGGGCTCGCCTTCCCATCAGCCAGATGCGAAGAGGTAGTTACTTATGCCCCCACTGAAGATGAACATCCGTGGAGGGATGCAGGCAAGGCCGATGAGTCAGATGCCTTCTGTGACCTCCTGTCACAGGTGTTGGCTAAGTGGCCCCTCGGGATAGAGTCATCATGTTGGGTGACTTCAATGCCCAAGTTGGTCATGATGCTGGCACCTGGTCTGGAGTAATTGGAAGCCATCGGCCAGATCGGCTCAATAACAACAACAACAGAAGGCTACTAGACTTCTCTGCAGCCCATGGGCTTGTAATTACCAACACGCTGTTCCGGCATCGGCGCATCCACACAACATCGTGGATGCATGCCGGGTCCAAGCACGAACATCTGCTGGACTACATAGTGACGGACCAGCGGATGCGAGC